GTTTTGTTAATTGTCACCATTGCAAACATCCCTCTTCCCAGATAAATTACAAGAAGAATTCATAAAACTCTGGCTGGCCAACAGATTTCTAAATGGAAAGAATCACTTTCTTCTTAATGCCTCAAGCTAACTTTTTCCTACCTTCGATTTCTTGGAAAGGTCCCCAGAGCATTATTTTTAAGTGGCAATGTCCCTGTAAGTGAAGCCAACTATCTGATCTGAAGGACAGTCCTGTGCGCCAGGCTGCAGCCACAGCGACTGGAACATTGAAATGAGTCAAGGGGGAGGCAAGTGTCAGATTGCACCATGCTGTGTCCTCAGCTCCTCTCTGAGGGCACCTCCCCACTGGCGGTGGAGCATCAGCTGCAGAGGGGAGCTGTGATTTTATTTAGCATGAAGGGACTTCTGAAATAGGGCAGAACAGAGAGCCCTTCCACATAGGGACAGAGAGGTTCTGACTTATCTTACGCCACTAATGAGACAAGCAAGAACTAAATGATTTCCTGCTGAATACCTCCTTCCCCTCGTCAGCCCTGTCTAGGCATCCTACCTGGGGTCTTTGTGAGATGAAGTAATTTGAACTTACCATTAAGGCAAATTCTTGATTAGAAGGTTAACCTAGTATCTCCAGGGATAAAAAGTTTGAATCCTGTGCGAAACTTCATCATCCTTTTGGTTGAGACTGAAAGCAAGGATTGTGGAGGTTTAAAGACGTCTTCAGGAGACTCCTTCAGCAAGAGTCCAGGGACTTTCAGAAAGTCCCCTCCTACCCTACAAAATCCATTTCTTTGAGGCTTAGGTTTATTTCTTTTTTCAACCTTAAATTAAGGCAGTGGTTGTTCATTGCTTGTTTTGTTTTTCCTTGAATAATATTAACTCGTGCTTATTGAATTTTGCTGCTGTTATAAATGGTTGTTATCTGAGTGTTCTTCCAGTGGGTAAGAAGCTCTCTGTCACCTAATTAAAGCTCATCCAGTTCTCAAGAGCAAACAGCAGCTTTCTACATACAAACACTCTTCACTAGACCGAGGCCAACTAAGGTTCTCGTGTTTATTTGTTATAACCAAAACACATCAGCAGTTTGCACAGCCCTGAATACAAAACAAAAAGCCTATGCCTCTTCAAAATGCAAGTATTAAAGGGAAGAAAGACTTCTCCAAAAGCAAAAACCTGGGAATCCTTCTACTGCTCCATAATGGAGACACCAACGCTTGCCCCTCAGAGATTACTGGAAGTGTCTAACTTCTCTCTCTTCTCTCTCATTCAGAAGCACGTTCTACACGTATCTGCTTTCAAGGAGTTACGGTTTGTGTAACTGTGCCTAACTATTTTTATGCACTTTGAGAACTGCACAAAAAGTTTGAATTAATATTTGAGGACAGGTAAAAAGGAAAAGGGTGTTAATAACAGTAAGATGAGCACAGACTTAAATTCTAGATGTGGTTCATCTCTTGACTCTGTGAAGAAACAGGCACTGGGGATGCCAGGAATAATAATATCAATAATAATATAAAATTATTACTTACATTTTATGGGCAACACTGAAAACCATTCCAAATAACTCATGGGAGCTATTATAGAGCACTAAGTAGCTTGAGTTTCTTTTCATCCCCTTATTTTATTTGTAACTTAATGAGCGACCAAAACACCAACATTCAAGAAGTATGAGGAGTAAGACCACAGAAAGACCACGAATGTAGTG